GCAATAATTACAGCAACTCACATTTATGCAATGCTGCCTAATGTACATTATCTTTGATCCTAGTAACAACCCTGCCAGGTAGGTGCTATTATTATTCCCATTTTACTGATGAGGAAACTGAAACTCAGAAAAGTTTAATGATTTGCCCAGTCACAAAGTCATTCTCTGATTATAGGTTCAGATGCAAGTCTTTGTCATACCATGTCTAGCACTCCAGTGGTAGTGTGTGAGTGTGAGTATGTGTGTGTGTGTGACAGACACAGAGACAGAGACAGAATAAGAGTGTGTGTGTGTGTGTGTGTGTGTGTGTGTGTGTGTGTGTGTGTGTGTTAGGGGAGCCGAGGTACAGAGATAGCATCATTGGACTTCCAGGTTCTCAGATATCTTTGTGAGAGGTGGGCAGGTGGGAAAGGTGAGAGTGTTCTAAAGGCCAATTAGAGATTAAGTAGAACTGTCCAATTATTCTCAGGACACTGCTGGGCATTGTGAAGGTCATAGAAATTGTTTCCCCCACCACTTCTTCTCTAGTCCTTGACTTACAGAGACTAAACATGGACCTTCCTCCTCTGGTTTCTAAATTACCAGAGTCTAGGACATTATTTGCAAAGGCCTACCCTAAACACTCCAACACCCTTCCATTCTGGGCAGTTTTTACCAGTGGAGGCAAGACCCCAATGCCAAGTATACAGATGCAAATTTATAAACTTTAAGTGGTTTATCCAAATCCCTGCTGTCTCTTGGCTTTCCTCCTTCTTGTCTGAAGGCTCCTTTTCAGTATATTTTGCTGAATAAACATTTTCCTCTGACCCTTTAGGTATGAGTGTCTCCCAAAGGCTCTGTCTTGAGCTTTCTTCTCATTCCTATTATTTTCTTCTGGCAGATCTCATCAAGCTCCAGGGGTTTAAGGTTCACATCTATGCAAACAATTCCCAAATCTATATACCAGCTGAACTTTGACCCTGCATCACCAACTTTGGAAGATGTAGCATCACCAACTCAACATGTCCAAAACTACCATTCATAATGGTCCCCTAGACAAAGTCCTCCCCCAAACTTCTGCACTCCTGTTGAAGGCAACACCATCCTTTAGAGGCCCCTAGATTTCTGGCCTTGGATTCATGCTCCATTTTGCTTCCTTCCCCTCACCCCCCATTCAACCACTTGCCAAGTGTTGTGGACTGGCCTCTATAATATCTTTGACATCAGTCGCCTGCTCACTACTCCTGGGATAGAGCCTTGACTGATGCCTATACTTGGTGAATAGGAAGAGAAGGTGGATTCAGCAAAGGATACCAAGAAGGAAAGGTCAGATAGGCAGGAGAACTAAGAGAGAGGAGTGACTCCAATGCACATCAAATTTATAAACTTGCTACCTTATATATCCTAGTGTAGTTCAGGTCCTCACCACCGCTGGCCTGTACTTTTCAAGTCACGTCAGTCAAATCAAAAAGTATTTATTATCCACCTGCTATGTGCCAGACACTGTGTTAAGTCCTGAAGATACAAAGAAAGGTAAAAGACAGCCCCTTCCCTCAAGAAGTTCCCCATCTAATGGGGGAGACAAACTGCAAACAACTCAGTACATACAAGACACGTACCAGTGGAAACTGGAGATAACCACCAGAGAGGAGACACTAGCATAAAGGATAGACTTCTTGCAGATAGACTTCCAGGAAGCCAGGAAAGGTAGCAGGTAAGGAAAGAGAGAATTCTTGGCATTGGGGACAGCCAGTGAAAACAGACAGGCAGTTAGGTGGCAAAGTGGATAAAGTGCTGGCCCTGGAGTCAGGAGGACCCAAGTTCAAATCTAGCCTCAGACACTTCCTAGCTGTGTGACCCCGGGCAAGTCACTTAACCCTGTTTGCCTCAGTTTCCTCATCTGTAAAATGAGCTGGAGAAGGAAAAGGCAAACTGCTCCAGTATCTTTGCCAAGAAAACCCCAAATGGGGTCACGAGACTCGGACGTGACTGAAAAACCAACTGAATAACAACAAATGAAAACACAGAGTTGGCAGATGGAGCATCTTGTCTAAGGAACAGAAATGAGGTCAGTGTTACTGGATCATAGAGTGTGTGAAGTGGAGCAAGGTGTAAGAGGATTGGAAAAGGAGGAGGGGGCCGGTTACAAAGGGCTTTGAATGACAAGAGGATTTTACAGTTAGTCCTGGAAGTGACTGGTTTACTGAATAGGGGAAGTGATATGGTTAGATATGTGATATGGTTATGTGCACTGTAGGAAGATCACTCTAACAACGAGTGAACAACAGACTGGAGTGGGGAAAAGACATGATCCAGGGACACCAACCAGTAGTTGGCTAATAGCAATAGTCCATGCATGAGGTGATAAGGGCCTGTACACAGGAAATGAGAGTATGAGAGGAAACAAGGGAGCATTTATGAAGTTAGAAGTGACAGAGTTTGGCAGCTGATTGGATAAGATTAGGGGCCTGGGATGATGGTGGTGCCCTCCACAGTAACAGTCTGCTCATTAGTCTTCCTGCTTCTAGTCTGCCCCCCTTTCAATCCACCCTCCACACAGCTACCTAAGGTCACTGTCATTTCCTTACTCAAAAACCTTCCCTGGCTCTCCATTGACTCTACCTTTTAAAGCCCATCCCAATCTAGCTCCCACCTACCTTTCCAGTTTTATTTCATATTTCATATTGCCACCCTCACATACTTCACTCCAAAGTATCCCCTTTGGTGATCCCTAGAAATAACACTCCATCTCTGGCCTCTGACTGTGTCTTTGTTCAAGTGGCCTCCATGTCTGGAATGCCCTCCCTAACTTCCTTCAAAGAACACCTCAGGTACTTCCTCCTACATCAGTCCTTTCCCAATCACCCCAATTGTTAGCAATCTTTCTCCAAATTATTTTCTTTTACTTTGTTTCCTATGTACAATTCCTATGTATTGTATACACCCCAAACTTCTAGCCCCGAGAGAATGCCAGCTTCCTGAGGGCAAGGATTCAACAAAGCTGTATCTGAAACAATGAGCACATGGTAGGCAATAAATGTCCAACTGAATCAAGAGAGTTGATTGAGGTGTCCACTGAGACAACGGTTTGGAAGAGAAGGGGGGGATGAAAGCTAGAAGGGGCAATCCCGGGGTATTCTATATATAGGTGGTAACTGAAACCATGTGATTGGATGAGTTCTCTCAGGGAAGGAGTTAGAAGGCTCAAGCAGATGTGAAAGGGGGAAAATTGAGCTTTAGCTCCCCTGTCCTGCCCCTCTCACCCTCTCATTTTAACCTCATTTTGGCACCAGGCCTGTGCTAGTGAGAAAGGAGGAGCAGCTAATGGGGAGACACACACTCGGCTTTGGTGATGGGAGTTAAAAACAGGCTCTGAGCATCAGGAGGGGAATCCACAGGGAGTCTCTGGCTTTTAAGCTGCCCAGAAGCCCTACAGCAAGGATGCATCTGGGGCTAGGTTGGTCCAGGCCTCATCCACAGAGGAAATCAGTGGGCTGGCTGAATAGCTCTGGGTTAGCCCTGTACATGGCTAGCCTCAGAGGTTTATAAAGCTGGAAGGGACCTTAAAGATCTCAAGAGTCCAACCCCTTCATTTTACAGATAGGCAACTGAGGTAGGGAGAAGGGTACTGACTTGCCCGAGGGTTAGAAAATATAGCATTTGAACCTACGTTTTGAGATTCCAATTCTAATATTCTTTCCCAAACTCAGGCGAGAAGCCAGATGTCCAATCATCTGTGCAGGAGACTAGTTTTCCATGATTTTTGCCTTTGTTTGTATCCCTAGCTGTTAACAAAGTGACCTTGTACATGGGAAGCCCATAATAAATGCTCGGTGACTTACGTCCAGGAGTCCCCAAGCATCTGACAGGCTCAGACTTTGGCAGTAACCCATGCCCATGTGTCCATGCCTGTGATATATGCAAATTAGAGAAAGAAACTACAGGAGTTTGAAGACTGGACTGTGGAGATGGAAGGGATTCGGGAAGAAACGATAGAGGGCAGAAGGGGAGTGTGGGGGAAGGCAGGGTTGGTTGTTGGTAAATAGTTGCGAAACCAGTGCCCTCGGGTTCTTTCTGTGGACCTTCAGTTAGAGAGGCAGCAGCTGCTCCAGTAACAAGGAAAAGTTAAGGAAAGACTCAGGCAAGCGATCCAGTCGCCCACCACTTAAACAAAGCAAGGAGAAAGTGCACCACGATCGTAAAACTGCTGCTCCGGCACACCCGGAACGGTCACCTTTAAAGGGGAAAGTTTGTGGGGTGGCTCTTTCCTGAAAGGAAACCCAGGCTTTGTGCCGTGGTGCACGGTTGTTGGGGGATTTTGGAGGGGGAAGCTGGTGGTTACTGAGTCTGCAGCACGAGCAGATCAAAAGGGAACGTTTCCGCTTTGGAGCAGGGAATCAGGGCTCTCGAGGGCGGACGGGCGGGCAGCCAGCCTCCTGGCCGAGGCGTTCAAGGTGAAAGAAGCAGCCTCCTGGCTCCCCCGCCTGCCAACAGGTAGAGCTGGAGCAGCCCAGGCAGGCAGCCGCCACTCCCCCCCACAGCCGAGCCCTGGATCTGGATCTGGGCGCGGGAGGGCTTGGCCTTCTGGCTGGGCATCGGGTGGATTCCAAGCCTGAAGCTGGGCTGGGGGCATAAGGGTTAGCGCAGCACGAACGGCTAGCGATTACTGCCCTCCCCACCCCCAACCAAAGGGCTACCCCGGATCCGGGCGGTCAAGCGCTGGACAAAATGCCGGTTAAGTGGGCGGGCGCCCCCAAGCCCAGCCAGGCTCCACTCGGCTTCTCGAGGACCCCCAACCCAAGGCTGTCCCGGGAGCCGGGCAAGGGCGGGGGTCGGGGCTAGGGGGGCCGGAGCCTTGGGCTGGCCCAGGCCTCACGCTGGAGGGGAAGGACACCCCCTCGGTCCGCCCATCCCCTCCGCTCCCCTCCCACCTTCGCGGGGCCCCCGGCTCGCAGCCCTCCCGCGCCTGGCATCACGCCCCTCTCCCCCCAATTCGGCCTGGGCCCCCAACCCGGACTCACCGAGGGTCAGGAGCGCCAGCAGCAGCGGCCTCTCCCCCGAGTGGCCCATGCTGGCTGGCGGCGCGGAGGAACTCCCCTTCCCTTTCTCCTCCTCCTCCTCGCCTCGCCTCGCCTTCTCCTCTGCCTCTTGCTCCCGCAGCTCCGGAGTCAGAGCTCCAGCACCCGGGGGAAGGGGGGCGGCGCGCCCGCCCCGCGCTGACTCCACTCCTGCGCCTGCTCCCGCCGAAGGGCTTCCCCAACCGAGACCCTTCAATTCGCGCGCAAGAGCGGCCGTGTATTCCTTCTCTCTCTCTCTCTCTTTCACCTCTTCCTTCCTTCCTTCCTTTTCTTTGGGAGCAGGCGGAGAGCCGGGCGCTAGGGCTGGCCGCGGCTACAGTGTGTAGCCCCGACCGCTTCCCGAAAGCAAAACGAAAGAACCGCAGCGCCTGCCAGCCCGCCCGCCCGCGCCTCCCATCCGGCGCTTTGCCAGCAACAAACACAAACTTTCCCAAGCCCCTCCCCACTTCAGGTAACGGGGAGGAAGCGCGGCGCTCTGGGGATCTCTGGGTGCTGCCCGCTTAAAGGGGAGGAGAACTTCCAGACCCCCACCCTCGTGCCCCCGTGCCAAACCTCCTCCGACCTTTAAAAGTTGGGAAATGCCCAAGATTTTTCTAGGAACAAATAACTCCCCAGGAATCTTCCCAAATCAAAGCGCAACTCTTTCCCTTCTCGCGAAATTGCGCGTTTGTTCCCCAAAAGTCACCCCCCACAGAAAATCCATAAAAACTTAACTTTCCACAAATCCACTCCGCTCTCTAACTCCTACAATCCAGGCTATGCCTGATGGGATCCTCCAGCAGTACTCCATTCCTGAGTCCTCCACTTTCCCTCTTTTCTCTGGAAAGATAGAACAGGGGCACTGATCTGACAGGCAGCTCCCTTTCCAACTGTCTAATCAAAAATACAGAAATATTAATATCACGACAATGCTTTATGTATGATCCTGTTCGAGTTTTACATTTAGAACTGAAGGGATATACAATTTGCACACGAGTTTGTAACAAAGTAACCAAGCATATTTTTTTTCTTTCCAGTAATGAATGATACTGTAGTTCTGTATAGTACTTTTACAATCATTACGTCATTGAACCTTGCGGGATGGATAAGGTAGGTTTTCTACATTTTCTAATTCTATACAACAAGCTTTTATTCACTAAGCACCTACTATATGCAAAACCTCGTACTAGGCAGTAGGAGTTCAAAGACCGAAATGATAAACAGTCCTTGCCCCCAGGAACCTTACATTCTACAGGATGACTTCTGACAGTAGAGCATTAAATCTCTGGAAGGTCTGGAAAGGTTTCCATTAGATGACTTATTTTACAGATAAGGAAATTGAGACCCAGAGACATTAAACAACTTGTCCAAGATAATATAATAAGTTAGTGTACTGAAAAGAGGCACAGTGGACTGGAACACATCTTCTTGACTTCTAGGTCAGTGTTTTTTCCACTACGCAATAAAAGCCAAGTATTTGGGGAGGGGGTAGGGAATTTAGTCTTCATTGTCTGAATAATTCATAGATGAGTCAAACATATGGAATCAAGGAAATTGCCTGAGCCCACTCAATCCAGTGCCTCATTAATACGATAGGGAAAAAACCCCACCGTATTCCTTCCTTCTGAGATTACCTCTAATTGATCTTGTCCGTGTGTCAGTTTCGTCTCAGTTGTATGTAGTTGTTGGTATGGTTTTGCCCTCATTAGAATGAGTTCTTTGTAAGCTGGGACTGGTTTTGCCTTTTTTTTTTTCTTTTGCATCCTAGCTTTCAGCATGGTGCCTAGCAGGTAAATGCTTGTTGACTGACTGACTAAGAAAAAGGCAAAGAAAGGTCATGAAAAGCCAAGTCTACCCATCACCCCAAAGCTCATCTTGCTCATGGCACTGTTATGGGCATGGGTGGTTTAATTCAAGTTCATCACTGTTGCTGAAAAAGATCATTCAAAACTCATTCAAATCATCCTCCTCTGCCCCCTTCAAGGCCCATCTCAAATCCCACCTCCTCAGCTAAGCCTTCTGGGTAATTCCAGTCAATGCACCTTTCCCTTCTTTGATCAATTCTGCCCTTTGCATTTTGTCACTTGCTTAATTCAATTTAGCATTTTATTATACATATATTTTCTTGCACCAGTCATCAAATCCCAATGATGTCCCTGAGTAGTTCTCCTCCCTTTCTGGCAACTCTTCTTGACTGACTTCTGTGATTCCCTTCCCATACTCCAACCAGATTCTAAGATTCTTCTAGGTGGAGACCTTTGTATAAAGCAGAAGATAAGTTACTTGAAGGTAAGCAATCTCTTGTTTCTGTTATTAAATGTTTGTTGAATAAAATTTTGTTCATGAGATAACCTTCTTTTGGATCTGCAACAATCTAGTTATAATTCTAGACACAGAGTAGGTATTCAATTTCAGCCAACATTCATTAAGCACCTACTGTATGAGGGACACAACACTAGCTGGAGTTGAAAGCTTTTAGCTAAGACACTACCCCTGGCCTCATGGAGCCTGCAGTCTAGCAGAGGAATAAGACACACATAAGACAGTTCTACAATGATTCATGATTGGTTAGCAGAGAGGTAAAACAAAACAAAACTATATAGCGTTCAGGGAGGGAAGATCAAGAAACCCTGTGCAGGGCAATGGATAAAGTGTTGAACTTGGAGGACCTGCATTCAAAACCTGCCTCAGACAATTATTAGCAAGATGACCCTAAGCAAATTGTTGACCTTTCTGAGCTTCAGTTTCCTCATCTGTAAAATGAGGGGGTTGGTCAGGAGTTCTTAAACTGGGGCTTGTGAAATTTATATATATATATATATATATATATAATATATATATATTTCTGATAACTGTGTTTCAATATGGGCGGCTAGGGGCACAATGGATAGAATACTGAACCTGGAGTTCCGAAGATTCATCTTTCTGAGTCCAAATTTGGCCTCAGACACCTACTAGTTGTATGACCCTGGACAAGTCGCTGCACCCTATTTGCCTCAGTTTCCTCATTGTAAAAAAAAAATGAGCTGTAAAAGGAAATGGCAAAACACTCCAGTATCTTTTCCAAGAAAACCCCAAATGGGTTCGGGAAGAGTCAACTGAACAATCTTTCAATGTAATTGGTTGTAATCCTATATATTTTATTTTATGCACTTAAAAACATTTTTTTTTCTGAGCAAGGACTTATGGGTTCCATCAGCCTGCCAAAAAAGTCCGTCACACAAACACAGAGGTTAAGATCTCTGAGATCCCTTCCAAATCTAAATCTACTCTTACATGAAATATTTACTGACTTGAATAGAACTGAAAGTCCTACTTGTTGTAAGTCTGTAGAGCAATCCTTGCATATCAAAGGCAGCCTGATTTTTATAACTTCATATAAACAGGAAAGTAGTGCTTCCATGTTGTTAAACACATCTGCCACACCTTTTGCTGGACCCTGACCACTGCAGTATAAAATATATCACTGACTGAAGAGAGCTATGACCAGTGTCCCCAGCAGGAAAGAGCAACTTGCTAATTCATGAATTGGGTATTTGTTTATTCCTCCTTTGTGCAGGATAATCAATCTTTTACTAGCTTAAGTAAGACCCTATTCAGTAGTCTCTTTTATTGCATCTCATTGATTCAAAGGCCTGCCCAGGGCAGGAAGACTACTTTAGCAATCCCAACTGACAGAATTGTTCCCTCCCCACCAACCACCACCTCCCAAAAAAAGATTCTTCTTGTAAGGGAAGGCCTCTCCCTGCCAGCTGTTGTTACTCATCATTGAGGCATTTGTAGGGACACTCAGAAATGCCTCTCTAGTAGGATTGGCTGTACCCAGATTATAGGGGTCAATGCAGGAAAGTGTTGTCCCTGAAAATCTTAAGAAATAAAAGCATGTGGAAATTCAGATATGTTGTTTGCTGAAGTTTAAGGATGCCTTCCATAAAGGTGAAACATCTTACTTAATAGTTTAAAAAAAAAAAAACCTCCCTTCTTCAGTTATTGCCCTTCTCTTCTGCATTTTTAATCATTCCCTTTCCATTGAAATTCTTCCAATCTTCCTACAAATATCATCCTCGGGTCTACATAATCCTCAATTTTAAAAAGTCTTTTCTTAGTCCATCTACTCCTTCAAGGTACAAACCCATCTCTCTCGTTTCATTGATTGCCTTGAAAAAGTAGCCATCATGGAAGCATGATTCATCATTGGCCATGGTGAATCATGCTTCCTACCTTCTGACGGAGAGGTGATGGACTAGAGGTGTAGCAGGAGTCATACATTTACTTTGGGATGGAGGAAGGGAGAATGACTGGGGACTAGAGGAAGTAATTGTGGTGCCACAAAAAGAAGAAAAGGAAAAAAAGAGTATCAATGAAACATTTTTTTTTAATACTGGAAAGCAAAAGAAAGTTCCAAAAAAAACAAAAAAAAAAACCACAGACAAGCAGAACCATTTGGAACTGCTGTGTCAAATGTATTCTATATCTTAAAAAAAAACAACAAGCTTCATGTATTAGAGATTTACAGTTTTTATATACAATCCTCTTTTGTTGTTCTTTGTATATGGAAGTGATTATTTGTGGATAGTTGTCAAATTCATAAAAAGAAAAAAGAAAAATGTTTTCAAAGTATTCTATGACCAGGCTCTTTCTTTTCCTCACCATCTATTCAGTCATAGAATTAGATATTACTTAGATTGCACAATGGTTATATCCCTGGACTTGGAGTCAAGAAGACTTGACTCCCTGTGTGACCCTGGGCAAGTTACTTAACCTCTCTCTCAGTTTCCTTATCTGTAAAATGGGGATAATAATAGCACCTATCTCCCAGGGTTGGAGGGTTGTTGTGAGGATCATAAATAATATTTACCAAGTGCAGCTTAGCACAATGCCTGGCACACAGTAGGTAATTAATAAATACTTTTGAAAAAAAATCATAAGATCACAGACTGAGAGTTTTAAGGGACTTTGGAGGTCAGTCAGTCCAATTCTCCCATTTTACAGATGAGAAAACAGATTGAGGGAGGTTAAGTGACTATTCAGTGAGCAAGTCCTTGTCATCTGACTTCTATTGCCACCATTGTACTGAAATTGCTCTTCCAGAGTTCGCCAATGAGCTCCTTATTACCAAATCCAATGATATTTTTCAGTCCTCCTTCTCACTGACTTCTCTATAGCATTTGACACTGTTAATAGCCTCCTCCTACTGGACTCTCTCCTCATTCCCTGATTTCCAAGGCACTACATTGTTCTAGTTCTCTTCATAACCCTTAAACTGTCCCTTTTCTATTTCCATCAATAACTTCTCTTCCTCTTCCCCACTTTTTGATGTTGGTGTTTGACAGCATTCTTCCATCTTGGACCCTTTCCCATTTTCTC